GGCTATGAAAACTTACAACCTGTTAAAACTCCAAAATCTTTGGCAAATCATAAACGACTTCATAGTTGATTTGTTTTTTCGGTTCTTTCAGTCTATTCAACTATAAAAGGAATTTTGGCGCCTTTAAACAGGTTATAAGTTGGCGCTCCTCCCAGCTAGTCCGCCTTTGAGCACTTTTCCACTAACTTTTACTTTATGTCATTGTCTATTGTTACACAAAGCATAAACAATATGTAATAACTTCTTTAGCACGAAAGGAAGTTATAGACAGACTACATCATAAATGAGCATGTAGGTGCTCACATTTTTTACTAAATGAAGAAATAACTAATAACATTTGCATAAACCCCAGAATCCCATAAACCCACCGAACTCCTCTCAGCCCAGCAAACAATACCAGCCGCAACTATAAATATGACTTTATTTCGTGCTTATTATCATAATATGTAACGCTGTTAAATAACTGGTTCCTGAATGTTTTTACAAAGATTTTTTACGCGTCGAGTGAGTGTGACAGCGCTTTTGGAAATGTAGGTAGCTCTAACCATTACCTAACGCGGACTACCGAAACTTATTTATATTTTCACTAAACTGGATCGACGCAACGATCCACGTTTTGGATTTATGGCCGCTGTCACGTGCCGAAATAGCACACAAACAATAATTAATAACGTTTTGAAATTGTACTGGAGGCAAGTGCGCCAGTTGGCAGCTATCAGTCGCATCCTGCTGATAAATATCGGTAACAGATTATCGGCAGCTCGCTGTTGGTGCGCCGCGCTTTACCGTAATCGTCCTGGTGAGCGGGTCAAGGTGGTGTCTGAAACAAGATTCCGAATCTTCAATCATCTTAACTATTGCAGAGCGCACTACGAAAACACGGCTCTTCAAGTTTATTTAGTCGTGTAGTTTTAAAATGCTAGTAGAACCACAAATTTATTCGTTTGTCTCTCCCTACCTCAATTGATTCCGTCATCTCCAGATTTTGCCCAATAAATCCTGTTGAAAATTGACAACACATTATGAATCTACATTCATATTTTCTAGAATTGCTTATACAGAGTAACTCAAAAAATGAAATGAAGCAATTTATTTTATTGATAAAATTGAGAGCGATTCATCTCATTTTCCCGAAAATTGGGGAATAGTGTACTGTTATTATTGATATTACATTAAAACTATTTAAATTGATATATATATACATGTCCTTGCCAAAATGTTGATGATCACAAAAGTTTGTAAAAATTCACTTGGAACATACTCACAACATGCTTCTTTACCTATTATACTTTGACAGTCTACACATATCTCTATTTTAACTGATTGAGATTATCAATATTGTTACGTTGTCCGGGTGATTGAAATCCGGCGTGGGTAAAACTCAACAATTTATTCCCTACTATACACGAATTACACTAACTACTATAGCGATTATGTACAAACTATTTCCGGCGTAATTTGACTGGTTTTTCTTAACACTCGCTGGACTCGTGGTTTGACTGAATAATTCCCTTCCCGAAGGTGGCCTCCATTTAAACCCGTATTCCCTTCTCGATGTTTCCAAATCGAGGTCTTACTGGAATCCATCGAGACTTCCGTTTCCAGGCCTTTCCTTTAATGAACGCCGCGTCACCGGGCCAATGAGTCATACTACTACTACAAGACCCATAGGCGTCGTACCCAGGCAGAGTATGGGTTTATTTCGTAATAATCTTAAAAAAATCAAATTCACAAAATCAGTTTTATAATTTTTCGAAGAGACTGGTTTTGCTAGACAGTCCTTAGGGGAAGTATTTTCAAAGGTTTCCAAATTTTTTTTTGAAAGCGAAAATTCTGAAATACTTACGTCGATTTACCAGCAGATAGATAATCATAATAATAATCTTTTATTTAGTAATTAATTTAACAAAAATTATTTTTAATGATGATCCCCGTAAGTCAAAAAAATAATATTTGTGAATTGTTAAAATACAGAGTCTTAATATTTTGCGTATATATAAGTACATATAGTTCCCAAAATTATAAGATGACGTCATAAATGTTTTTGGGGAAGGTAAACAAGCAAATTTTGATTAAAAATTTACCATATTTCAACGACTTTAAAACTTTTGCAAGATTTTAGAGTTAATTTGCAAAATATTGTGATCGAATTTTAATTTTTTGCTCAAAAATTTTAACATCTAGGGAAACAACAAACTCAACTCGCAGGAACATGTTGTATAAAATTTAAATGACGATTATTGTTCTAAATTATCGATATGATGTCACGATATTCCTACATGCATGTAAATTTGGCACCAGTCGGCACGGTAGTTTCGAAAATTATCTGGCAACAGACGCCAGATAGACAGACAGACAAACAAGTCGAAACGGAAGGGCTATTTTTTACTACTCTAGGGATTTGAAACGTCGACAAAACAAGAAAATATTCATTCGCCCGATGAACCAAACGCTTACTTTCTTGTCTCACGCTCGAGAAGTAAAATTCAATGGTATTATGTCGTTTGGTACACGGAAAAATGTCATATCGGAATATTCGGAATATTACTTAAGCATCTTCGAGAAAGTGATACATATACATAAAAATTGTATCAAAAATGTCCCTTTGGCATAAACGTCAAATTAATTTATCACATTAAATATTTTGTTTACGTATAGTTTTACATTTACCACAAAATTTTCATGTGGTGGTCAGTAAAATTTTTCGGGTGTTTCTGGACATAGTGGAATTCTTTGATATGTTCACTTGAAGACTAACAAATTAAATTTAAATCGAAATCGTCACTTTTTCCCGGATTTAACCGAAGTTCAACGTGAAGACAATAAGCGTATACGAAAGGAATTCAGGATCGTGTTGATAATGAAGAAGCAAATCTGAGTCTAAAATACAAACATAATTTAGTAAATATAATTATAAAGGGATATGTAAGGAACTTGTGATTCCTAAAATTATAAACCTTATTGTGTCTGAACAACTTCAGTGCATGAATTCTTCTATTATTTCTTCCAAAACAACACGGGTTCTTTAAAAGCAGGTCCACTTTAACAACTAATTTATTAAAGTATTATAGTTATCTTAATGATGTCTTCCCCCATAAGGCACAAGTTGACTGGATATACACCAATGTTTCCAAAGCGTTCAGTAAGGTAAACCATAAGTTGCTTATATTCTAGTTGAAAAATCTCGGTTTTTGCAATAAAACTTTGGAGTGGTTATCTTCGTATCGTTGTGACAGGTCTAAGCAAGTTCGTATTGGTGATTATCGTTTTTTTTTTCTTATCCTATTTTTTCAGGTGTGCCACAATGTTCTCATTGTGGGCCTATTTTGTTCTTATTATTTATAAATAATTTATCATCTTGTTTTAGACACTCTAATTTCTCATTCTATGCTGATGACCTGAAGATCTTTCAAACAATTCCGTCTGTTAACGATGCATTGGAGTTACAACTTGATCTGAATACCTTGTATGATTCGAGAGACATAACTTACTTCCTCTAAATGTAAGAAAGTGTTTCGTAATATATTTTTCTACCATTGGTACAGAAATAAAGGATTTGGGCGTACACTTACTTTTAAAAACCATTACAATTTTATTTTCACTAAAGTAATTAGGATGTTGGATTTTATTTGGAGACCCTGTCAAAATTTATCTATTACTGCTCTGAGGACATTGTATTTTTCTCTTGTTCGCTCACATCTTAACTACTGCTCACCAGTATGGTCTCCCTTTTATACAAGTGATTCTGAATTTTAGAAAGGGTCCAGAAAAAATGTTTACATTTGATGACATATAAGTTGGGCTATAGTCATCAAAAATGTGCATATGCTTGGATTATGAATAATTTGCTTGGAAAATCAACGTAAATTATCTGATCTTTGTTTCACACCGATGAGGGGTAGTATTGTAACCACAAACGTAATGGAAGCTTTCGTCGTTCAACAAAGAGCAGAGGGAAATTCCAGTCTATCATTACCAACAAGACACCAACAGACTTAACGAGCAAAATTTAATTAAAACTTAAATATCAATGGTCAATTTTACACCTTTTGACCATACAAAACTTATCCACAAAACTGATAACAGACCATGATCCTCCCTTGCACGTAATTTGGTTAAGAATTGCCTCATCTCGACGATCTTCAGGTCCATTTCCTGAATTTTTCAAAAAATGTGTGTTCACAGTTGTTGCTCATTTTTTCATTTGTTATCAAAAGCTTTTGACCCAATTCAATTCTTCGAATTGTGGTGATGAGCCTAGAATTTTGACTTTGGAAAAGTTTACAATAGCAGGTATGGACAACTGTCCAACTTAATGGTAGATACTCCTAAGAATTTCAAATTTGTGCGATATTTTGAACTTAGTTACTGAATAAATTTTACGTTTATTAACAAGCACAGAGCTCTAGTTCATGGTATGAAAAAACTTTTCAGTTCCTTTTATGTATTCGCATTTATTTTTTTTTAGGTGAAAGGCCAATTAAATCCATTTTATATTTAATATCGTGGTTTTGAGAATATACTAGATGAATGATGCTATAACTAATTTCGCAAAAATATTTCTCGCAGCCTCAAGTACCCTTTATAATAAAAACTCACAAGTAAGTAAAGCACAATTTATTGAACGGGTTCAAAAATTTCTTTATTGCCTTTTACTTCATAACATTTTTTCGAATAAACAACAAATTGCGGTAGTGACAAATGCATTACACATCTACAGTAATTCACAGTGTACACAATTTGAATAATTTAAATTTTATTTGCCTTAACAAAAATAATTATGAAATGTATGCTATTTTTAGTTATAATTATTGAAAACAGCAATCAACGAGTAACTTGTTTTCAGAACCTAAAAAATAAATATTAACTTGGAAAATTTACGGCAATACAAGAAACTTACCGATACGAATGTTGTAACTGTAACATTTACAACCTTTCCAGCGGTAATAAGCAGCGGCCGTTTAGAACGTTCCATTATAATTAGCAGATTTTTTCGAATTTCAACACGATTTATACCACGGTCCCATATAAATCGCGTTGCTTAAATCGTTATTCTAAAAACACAAAATTTAACATGTCTGAAACATATTAACTAACGGATTTCCTTACCTCCTCATATAGTAGTGTACCATAATGGCAGTAAAATAATATTTGAAAACTAAGGTTAAATGCTAGCACAAAATATGTCAAAGCTTCTAGACTGTTTAGTGGAACCTAATTAAATTCATAAGATTTGCATGACAACAATAGTTTAACTTACAAGTGTTAGACTGATGTAGCAGAAACATACAGCAAACATACTTCCAGCAAACTGACAGAATATGCTCCACGAGAAACAGTCTTCGTATTCGTCTATAAACCTAAAAATTTGTTTAAAAAAAAGATGTCAAAATATATACATACGAAAAAACTAATCAAAATTTCCTTCTTGACTCCAAACGTAGTAATTAATTTAGAACATCCGTTTTTTATATTTACCACAAAATATTTTTGTGGTGGTCAATACAACTTTCCAAGTATTTATGGACACAACGGAATTCTATGATATGCTCATTACGTTTGCTTAAGTTATGGTCTAGATGCTTGTTAAGATGTTCTAAGTTATTTTTCAAAACCTTTAGCTGAGCTGTTGCATGATACGCCAAACCACCAATCAGTGGATCCATGATTGTGCCAGAATAACTATTATATATAGTTGCTATAAATAGAAATGTGGGTTCTTACACATACAAATATTTTTACATACCTGCAGCTATATAAACAAAAGTAAAGTAGTAGTTCACAATGGTAGATGAGGGGTCATATGGTAACCACAAACGTAACGGAAGCTTTCGTCCTTTAACAAAGAGAACAGGGAAATTCCAACCAATATTTACCAACAACACGCCGTAAAAGTAAACAATGGAATTTCTGCGGCACACCCAGACACACTCATCTAAAATTTTTCTTTCGTGGTAGGTTTTTGGTGCAAATTTTTTCTGTCCGAAAAAATTGATACACCCTTTTATTTTGTCACTATTTCGAAGAAATGGCAGGAGCTTAAAAAAGAACGAACCACAATCGGCGACATATGTGAACATGAGGTTTGCTTCCAAGTTATTCGAGCTTTTTGCTAGCAAAATTTTCACTATTATTAATACTGTGGTCAACACTAACAAAGTAAAATATAACGTGTAAGCTCGCACTTTCAGAAATATCGAACTTTTTCCGTATGAATATAATCCCATAATGTGTAGCACTTTCAAGTTTAACCCGAAACTTTTTTGTATTATATTCACCATATCAATTTATTACTTCAGAATGAAAAACACGGGTGAAATGAGAGGTTGTTATTCAGTTACCTACTCTTATATATCGGCTTTTAGATTTTTTTCCGAAGAAATTCCACCCCTTTTAGCTTATCGTGCAATTATATTCAATATATATTTTACAACATGGCTTTGTGAATATGCTATAAACTTGATCAGTTAAAGGTTTAATAACAAAGTGGTTACAAAATTCTTGTATTCGTTTCCATTAATAACTATATTTTACATTTTTTATTCATTAAAGTGTGTGCTTTTGATAAAGGAATTGCATAACACTCTCGATGAAGCTATCGATCCTGCTTCATTAATTATGTAACGAATTAACTTCAAAGCTCTAACGCATTACAAAAGAAAGAAATTAATTTCGTATCGAACAATAAAAGCGCATCTGTTAAAATATTAATGTCGTGTAACCAATCAATAAAAATTGTGTTGGGTACAGGTGATGCAGCAAATGCACCCCTCATGTCAGAAATTGCCAAAATTATTCTTCTATAATTGCGTGCAAGGTAGGGTAGATCAGTATTAGTGTATATACAACAAGATTTGGTAGTAAAATCGTATATGTAAGCAAACTAAAAATGTAATTCTTTAACACATAAATTTATTATAATTTTTTTATCTCAATTTCGATTCCTTCGTTATGATATTTTCAAATTTTTAATCTGTAGGCGCAAATTTCTCCTCTCGTCGAATTAAATTTCCCCCCGAAAAAATTGTGACAACAACAAATTTTGTTTACAAGTCAAATAAATATATTTGTTTTTAAAAGCAGTTAAAAAAAGTTATTCGTTTCCACCACTCCACTGAGATTTACCGTGCATTTTCGGGTCTAGTAAATCTTCTATCTTCGGCACAGATTCTACTACGTATTATTGTAATATTATGATTTACTTCTGGACACATTTTCGCCAATAAAATGTAAAAACACCCTCCACCATAGTGTATAAATTTTTTTAGACAATGTAACATTGAAAAGCCAAAAAATATGTTTTTATTTGCCTTAGAAAAATAATTATCAAGAGTCAATAATTCGTTTTGTCATTTCTAATTATAACTGTTGAAAACAGCAATCAATGAATAACTGGTTTTCAAAACCTAAAAAAAATATCTCCTAGTTTGAAAAAATTATAGATACGAGAATACAAAAACTCACCGAAACAAATGTTCTGACTGTAACATTCACCACTTTCCCGGCAGTAATAAGCACTGGCCGTTTAGAACGTTCCATTATTATTAGTAGATTTTTTCGAATTTCAACATCGTATTTATACCATGGACCCATACAAATCGCCGTGATTAAATAGTTGTTCTAAAAATATAAAACTCAATATGTCAGAAACAGTGGTTGGAAGTAATTCAACTCCTCTCCAAGTAATGAGTAATTCTAACGAATTACTGTTTTTGAGTAATTCAGTCACTTTTACAATTACTTTTAACCCAAATACTCAAAAATATTGTTTTGTTTTCTTTACGATTCGTCCCCACAAAGAGACGATTAACCTAGTAGGGAGTTAAAATCTAAAACGAGTTTAACACAGAATTTGTTAAGAGACCAAATAACCATAATATATATAAGCTCTTCATCATTTTAAGGGTGAGCTAAAGGATATTCCAGCATATGGAAATACATGTAAATTTCTGCCCAAGTTTTTGACAAAAGTGTATGTCCGATTGTAATAAACTTCACACCGTTGAAATGAGCGTAAAAAACCGTACTCAGCCTGCTTTTCCGTTTTTTAAATTTTGTTGTCAAAAAAAACTACAACGAGGTAAAATTGTGATGAGTATGAGATTATCTGGTTTTCGCTATTTACATTAGTAGAAATTGTGTAAAAAAAATCCATTAAGCTTTACAGAAATAAGATATCTTAATAAATAATTGAGTAAACAGGGATAGAATATTTAAAATCTGTGGTCAAACAAACTTTAGCCATTTTTCTGGTCCATGTAACACATGCAGTAAAATAAATCACTAACACGTTTTTTCCTGACCCTTTGGACCCATATAACAAATATCTAAAATTGTGTCTTTATCAAATTTTTCAAAGTGAAAAAGTAATTGTTAAAGTAATTCATCACGTTTTAAAAGTAATGGGTAATGAATTCATTTAAAAAAAAGCAATTTCTAATTGTAATGAATTACTATTGTTACTGCATAATGAGTAATTGTAATGCATTACTTTTTAAAAGTAATTCTTCCAGTTACTGGTCAGGGATATATTGATCAGTTTGCCAATGTTTTTCCTTACCTCCTCATGTAGTAATGTACCATAATGGCAGTAGAATAATATTTGAAAACTAAGGTTAAATACCAGCACAAAATATGTCAAAGCTTCTACACTGTGTAAAGGAACCTAATGGAAGATTGAAATAGCATCAGATTTACATGAAAATAACATTGTAACTAACTAGAGTTAGACTGATGTAGCAAAAACATACAGAAAACATACTTCCAGCAAATTGGCAGAATATACTCCAAGAGAAGCATTCTTCGTATTCGCCTATAAACCTGCAAAAAAATCAAAATCTAGCCATATGTAAAAACTATGGTATAAAATACATTCACGACAAAATAATTCCGTCAAAATAGTGTACGAAGGTACATCCCAAAAAATATTATTCGTTGAATTATGTATCGCTCTTTATTACAGACAGACTCTTAGTCCGTTCGAAATATACATTGAATTGGACAGTGAAACGGGTGGGGGTAGAAATGGGGTTGGTACCAATGGTACCTCAGAAGATCTGTATTTTTGCTGGGCTATTTTGTCGGGGCTATTTTGACGGGCTACGGTAAAAACTATACCAAAATTTAGTAACTAATTTGGACATTAGAAGTTTTGCCCAAGTATCATTTTATATCTACTTACCACAAAATTTTCTTGTGGTGGTCAATACAACTTTCCAGATGTGTTCATTACTTTTATTCAACTTATCTTCTAGATGTTGGTCAAGATGCTCCAAGTTATGTTTTAAAATCTTTAGCTGAGCGGTTGCATGATACGCCAAACCACCAATCAGAGTATCTACTAATGTACCAGAATAACTAACATATAATGTAACTAGAAACGGAAACGTTGGTTCTAATACATACACACGATTTTTCTGTACCTGTAGCGATGTAGACAAAAGTAAAATAGTAGTTTACAGTGGCAGACGAGGGGTCATATGGTAACCACAAACGTAACGGAAGATTTCGTCCTTTAACAAATAACACAGGGAAATTCCAACCAAGAATTACCAACAAGACACCATAAAAGTAAACGGTGGAATTTCTGCGGCATATCCAGATGCACTCATCTGTAATGTTCTTTTCGTGGTGGGTTTTTGGTGCAAAATTTTTCTGTCCGAAAAAATTGATACACCCTTTAATTTTCTCACTATTTTGAAGAAATGGCAGAAGCTTAAAAAAGAACGAAGTACAATCGGCGACATATGTTAACATGAGATTCGTTTCCAAGTTATTTGAGCTTTCTTCCTTTACAATTTTAACAATTATTAACGTTGTGGTCAACACTAACAAGACAAAATATAATGTGTAAGCTCGTATTTTAAAAAAGATGGAACTCTTGTCATATGAATATAGTCCCATAATGTTTAGAACTTTCAGGTTTAAGCTAAAACTTTTTTCCATTATATTCGCCATGGTGGCTTATTATTTCATAGAACGAAAAACAGGACTAAAGTAAAAAGTCATCATTCAATTGCTCTTATATACCCCCTTTTATTTTTTTTACTTTAACGCCCAATTAAATTAATTTTATATTTTACATCAAGACTTTGTGAATATGCTATGAACCTCACTTGTTAAACGTTTAATTACAAAGTGATGAAAATTTTCTTGTATTGGTTGGCATCAATAACTACATTATTTCATTTCTTATTCATTAAAGAGAGTGCGTTTGATCAAAGTGTTACATGAAAATTTGGATGAAATTATCGATTCTGGTCAATTAATTATGTAACGAATTAACCCATAAATTTCAAAGCTATAAAGAATTATGAAAAATACATTAATTTCTTATCGAACACGAAGAAATTGTGTCCGGTCAAATCAGTTAAAGTTGTTTCGACGGCACAGAAACACCATTCGTATACAAATCACCACAATTGTTCTAAATTTTCTAGCGTTAATTAATAAGGACACACTGAATCCGTTTTAGAGTATCCTGCGATAGAAAATACTAAGAATTTTGCAGGATTACTGAATTTTTCAAGTGTCAGAACGCATCGATACCGTGAGGCAAGAAATGAATAATAATCTGTCAGAAGCACAGGGGTAAGCTTTTTTTCGTTGTAGCTCAAATCAGAAAAAAAAAACACGTTATGAAACTATACCATAACGAACTGATAACGAAATAAGTTAAAAAATGCTTAAAATGCATAGCTTTTAATCCTTGTCTTGAGAGAAATCTTGGCAAGCGATTAGGAAAACTTTTATATTTTCTTATGTTTAGATACCCCTTTTTTGTTGTTTTGCTTATGTTGATGTTAATGCTAGATCATCCAATGTTGCTGGAACTTTATTTCTCTCCACGTTAAAGATCGTTTAATGTAAATTAAGTTTACGACTGAGTAGAACACACTTAGTTGGGCGGGTTAAAAAAATATGTTTATTATCTAGTACTTCGTAACATTTATTGATAAATATATTAAATGGCATTGTGACAAATAATAAGTAGCTGCTACATTACATGCGACAAATAAGGAAAGTAATCATCACATTTGAATAATAGTTTTTAGTTGTAATTGTTGAAAACAGCAATCAATGAATAACTTGTTTTCAAAACCTAAAAAAAAATATTAATTTGAGAAACTACGACACTGCAAAATACTTACCGATACGAATGTTCGGACTGTAACATCTACCACCTTTCCAGCAGTAATAAGCACTGGCCGTTTAGAACGTTCCATTATGATAAGTAGATTTTTTCGAATTTCAACATCGTATTTGTACCACGGGCCCATATAAATTGCGTTTATTAAGTCATTATTCTAAAATCACAAAATATAACGTGTCTGAAATATATTTACCAGTTGACTAATGTTTTTCCTTACCTCCTCATACAGCAGTGTTCCATAGTGGCAGTAAAATAATATTTGAAAACTAAGGTTAAATATCAGCACAAAATATGTGATGGCTTCTACACTGTTTAATGGAACCTAGCAAAAGTTTCAATGATAAAGAATTTAAATAGAAATAACATTTTAACTAACGAGAGTTAGACTGATGTAGCAAAAACATACAGCAAACATGCTTCCAGCAAACTGACAGAATATGCTCCAAGAGAAACATTCTTCGTATTCGTCTATAAACCTACAAATTTATTGAGAAAAAAATATCAAAGTTTATACATACATAAAAACTGTATCAAAATTTCCTTTTCGCATCAACGTAGTAATTAATTTTATATTTACCATAAAATGTTCTTGTGATGATTGATACAACTTTCCAGGTATTTGTTGGTACAAGAGAACTTACTTTTGTTTAATTTATGCTCTAAATGCTTGTCAAGATGTTTTAAATTATATTTCAGAATCTTTAACTGAGCCGTCGCATGATACGCCAAACCACCAATGAGTGTGTCCATAATTGTCCCAGAGTAACCAACATATACAGTTGCTATAAACGGAAACGTCAGTTCTGACACACATTACATTATTTTGCTTTACCTGCAGCAATATAAACCAAAGTAAAGTAGTAGTTCACGGTGGTAGATAAGGGGTCATATGGTAACCACAAGCGTAGCGGAAGCTTTCGTCCTTTAACGAACAGCACAGGGAAATTCCAACCAATAATTGCCAACAAAACCCCAGTAAAATAAACAATGGAATTTCTGCGGCATACCCAAATACACTCTTCTATAATTTTTCTTTGGTGATGGGTTTTTGGTGTAAAATTTTTCTGTCCGAAAAAATTAATACACTGTTTTATTTTCTCACTATTCTGAAGAAATGGTAGGAGTTTAAAAAAGAACGAAACACAATCAGTTACATACGTTAACATGACGTTCGTTTCCAAGTCATTTGAGTTTTTGGACGTTAAAATTTTAATGATTATTAATATGGTGGTCAACACTAACAAGATAAAATATAAAGTGTAAGCTCGCACTTTCAAAAATATGGAACTATTGCCGTATGCATATAATCCCATAATGTTTAGCACTTTCAAGTTTAAACTGAAACTTTTTTGTATTATATTCACCATCTAGTTTTATTATTTCAGTTTAAAAAACACCGTTGAAATGAGACGTTGTTATTTAGTTACTTTTATATATCCTCGTTTAGAAGTTTTTCTGTAGAAATTCCACCCCTTTTAGCTTATCGTGCAATTATATTCAATACAAATTCTGCATTGTAGCTTTGTGAATAAGCGATGAACTTGATCTCTGGATGGTTTAATTACAAAGTGTTTAAAAAATTCTTGTATTGATTTCCATCAATAACTATCTTATTTCATTTTTTATTTATTAAGTGTGTGCCTTTGATAAAGGAGGTAGATGATGTTCTTGATGAAGTTATTGATTGCTTTAGGGTGTAATGAATTAACTCATAAGCTCTACGGGTTTAATCTAAAAGAAATAGTTTCGTATCGCACAATAACAAGCGCATCTGTTAAAATATTAATGTCACCTGGCAAATCAATAGAACGTTTTAAAGGCAGTTCATAAAACCAATGCACATTACAAGTCATAAATCGCCCATTTTACTCATAATTCCGAACATTGTAAGGTATATCAGCAATAACAGGCAATATATAGGTAATAATAATGATGCAAGGTATAATAATAAAATTCTAATTCATTATTGTTTTAAGCATATATTTTTTACGCTGAAATTTTATTTTAATTTTTTATTACCAAAAATTTTAATACAGTTTGTTAAGAACAATAAAATATTTTGGTCGTTATGTGCACTTTGTTTTCGCGTATGATTTGGTATGTGATATTTACCTCTCGTGGAATTTAGAGTTTTTATTTTCGACTCCTACTTGTGATATTTTTGTTTCAAGCTTTATATTTTTGAAGGAATTTATAGAATTCTGCGAATTTTGGAGGGTCGATTTCTATGAAAAGTTCAAACATAAAAAACTTAAGCATTTCATTAGGTTTTCGTCATTCACTTTTATGCAGAGATAGTATTCATGTTAAGCAAGATGGTATTACTTTTGATAATCGGTGGAGACTATTTATTTAAAAATATTGTTACGGCGATCGGTATTTAAAATCGGCGTGGGTAAAACTCAACAATTTATTTCTTAGTAACTCAAATTTACACGACTAATTACATAGTGATAATCCTCGTTTCCGAAGATGGCCTCTGTTTAACCCATACTTCATTTCGAGATGTTTCGTGTTCGAGGTTTTTCTAGAATACCCATCGCGACTTCCGCTTCCAGACTTTTCTTTGCCGAACGCCGCCCGGCCGCTGTCACCGACGATGAGTCACCCATCATCGCCGTGCATACTGGAAAGCTCGAGAACCCATAGGTGTCGCACTGGGGCCGCGTATGCGTTTGTTTCGTAACAATATTAATTGATGAGGATTTAGAATAATCCATTGTCTTTCAAGTCACAGACATTTTTAATTACAATATATCGGGTAATTTTTAGATTTGTGATCTAGTTATCTACGAATTTGTTGACAGAACTAACTCATCAAAAGCTGTAGTAACTTGCACAGTTTTTTTAAAAATTATCAAATTTTACTCAATTTAACACATAATTCACTTTGTTCATAAAAATGTGGATTATTGTCGTGAGTTTGTTGATGTAGAGAGATTAAAAAGTTTGTATATTGCGTGTGTCAGGTCTCATCTTCAATATAATTCTCTTGTTTGGTCTCCCTTATATAACGTTTATATATCTAGGTTGGAGCGTATTCAACGAAGGTTTCTGAAATCTGCAGCTTTCATGTTGGATGGTGCTTATCCCCCAAGAGGATATTCTCAAGAAATGCTTCTTGATCGGTTTAATTTATCCTCGTTAGCACCAAGACGTGTTGTTCACTCTATAGTCTTCTTATTTAAAGTAATCCATGGGCTACAAGAGTGTCCGGTAATTCTGTTTAACATCAGGTTACTAGTGCGCGTGGTAAGAACACATTTTATCTACCTACTTCGCGGACTAATATTGCACTCGCTTTACCACTTTTTCAAATGTTCCAGAACTACACTCACATCAAAAATCAGTTGGACATATTCAACTACACAATAGCTGACACTAAACGACGATTTGAACATCCCACTTAGAGAAAAATAATTTCGTGTTCAACCTTGTCTTGTAAATGGGTTTTTTTATATAATTCGCAATTTCGCAACTTAACCTGAATATGGGTTTGTCTGTGGTTGAACTCAGAAACTTAGGTTATGTTACGTCAACAAGAGTTAAACCCTCCTTGCATTTAAAATTTATTTATGATGAGTATGACATTTAATTGAAATTAACAATAAACTAAAGGTGTAAATCAGATAATTGAGGTGATATGATCTGCGTGGGAGCTAATTGAACGGTCGTCATAAATTTCCTTTACAATGTTTAAAATTTTTGAGCTGTATGAGCTGTTGCGCTGTCATGTTGAAGGTATTCATTCCGCAGTTCGTCAGAATCAAGCTGGTCAATAATTTTCTGTGATCTGATATTTTGCAGTCCTGCTCAAATAGTCGTTAAAATTTTTATATCGAAAAGATCAGTGTCCATTGTTTGATTGAACCAGGTGCAATCAATCATTTTCTTTCAATAATCAGGTGATTTAAGTTCTTGAAATAGCTATATTTTGTCGGAAAACAACATCAGGACATTTTTAACAATTTTCTGAAAAGTTAAATATGACCAGTCAACTTGCTGCGAAAGCTTCTTAAAAATGTATTGGAGCTTTCATCCATAATCTCCGGAATTTGTTTTGCTAATGTGCGTCTTCCTGATTTCCTCTTAATGCTACCCCTCTCACCAAATAATTTTATGGCTTAATTGAATGTTCTTAGAAAATTAGCTTCAAAAACAACAATACTAGGGAACTTTTCACGAAATTCCTGAAAACAAGGTCGGACTTCATACATCTATTCAACGTTCACTTGCACTTGCACTTAATAATTAATAAAGACACTAGTTTTATAAATAATTTTTTTAGTCAATTTCCCTAATATCTACTTAGATAACATATTTTGATTTGATAATGTAAAGTGGTCTGATTTTTTTTGTTTTTTTAATTAGAGACTTCCAACTCGAAAAGTGTAAATGGTGAATCTAAATAACCGGTCAACGAGCAATAATAGAAGTGAATTTTTATTTGGTGGTAGCAAGTACGCAAAATTATATAGAGACTTACATTAAAAAAATAGTTTTATTGAAAACTGTTGAAAACAGCAATCAAAGAATAACTTGTTTTCAAAATCTGAAACAATGTATCCAATCACCAAGACAAAAACTCACTGATAAAAACGTTCTGACGGTAACGTCTACCACTTTTCCAGCGGTAATTCGTAGTGGCTTTTTAGAACGCTCCATGATAATTAGCAGATTTTTTCGAATTTCAACATCGTATTTATACCACGGGCCCATATACATCGCACTGATTAAATCATTACTCTAAAAATACAAAGTACAACATGTTTGAAATATATGTATCAATTTCTTACCTCATAGAGCAGTGTACCATAATGACATTAAAATAATATTTGAAAACTGAGGTTAAACACCAACACAATGTAAGTCAAACCTTCTACATTGTTGAGTGGAACCTAAGAAAATTTAATTACATAAGACTTGGGTGTATACAGCGTGTTATTGAAAGGTACGTACAAAATAAAATCCGCAGTTGGTTTCGAAGTATGAGTTCTAAAAGCAAAAAAAAAATTAGGTAAAAAGAGATAAAAATTATTAAAATATATGTCCATATTCGTTGTACGCCTCTGATAAAAATATCATCTTTCCTTTCTATAGCAACATTTGAGTCTTGACACAAGTTTTATTGTTACAGTTGTTAGGATTTACTAAAATAAATTAATTTTGCTATTTATCCTTCAGTGGCGTCTAAAAAGGTTGGATAAGGGTTAATTTTCCCCTTATAATTTCGATAACACAAAATAAGATTTTCCGATTTCTTAGACTTCTCGAATAACTGTCAATTTTGTTGTACGTACCTTTCAATAACACCCTGTAGGATAGCAATGGAATAACGTATATGTGTTTCTTTCTGACTAGACATCGCTGTCAGTCGTGTCTATACTCTTAAAAACGACATATTCTGTCAAGGCACTCTAGGTCAAAGTAGGGAAAAGGACATAATGAAACTATACCACAA